AGACAGGAGAGGTAGTATTTTTGGTTAAACAGTGCCGAAGCTTAGCAGAACACCAGCTGTTTGTCCAGACGGAGACAGTCACGACAGAGAATATACAGAAAGAGGCAGAAACGAGGAGAGTGTGAGTAAAGCAGAGTGACCGGTGACATTTAGGAACATTGGGATCCGCTCGTATACTGATTGGCCTGTAACGGCAACAGGATCCTACAGGACATCCCTCATCGTACAACGCCTGGCTCTCTGTACAGTCGACATCGAAAAGAAACACTGAAGGTTGCTGAGGCGAGTTGTAGTGTGAGTGTATGCAAAGTGTGTTTGGCTCCCTTAAAAGGCTATTGTACAAAATCATCGTGTGACTGAGGTATCTGGTAAATGTCTCCAGCTTAGTGAGGTCTTTGTAAGGCTACTGAGGTGGAGCTGCTGACCTGGGTTGAGGGGACGAGGGCTACGAGGGGAAGAGAGACTACAACAATTTTTTTAAGGTTCGTTGAGCACCAAAACGTCAGCTCATAGTTCTCACACTGTGGTTTGTGTACCGTTAGTGACACACACTCTCCTGGTACACACACGCACAAACTGTATCAGCCTGTTTAAAAGTTTGGCTTAGGGATGCACCAATACCAATAATGTACCAATAATATCAGGTCTCTCTTGTAAATGAGTCCTCGAGGCTCAATGGGATTTACTTGTCTAAATAAAGGTTGAATGAAAAATACCACATCTCTTTCAAATCAAAGTACAAGAACCGACATTTAAGTACTTGCCATTAGGGAGTAACAAAACTAAGTGCAATATAATCGAGAGGTTCCCAACACTGGTCCTTGAGGAACACCGTCCTGCATGTTTTACTTGTTTCCATGATTTGACTTGCCTGATTTGAAAGAATGGGTGATTAACTTCTGCAGAACTTGAGGAAATAATTGAATCACTGAATCAGGCATGTTGGAGCAGGAAACAACTGAAACACGCAGGATGGTGTTCCTCAAGGACCAGGGTTGGGAACCCTTTATATAATCACACGTCTTGCAATTACTTTGAAAATCAGAGGAGTTTAATTTTTATGTTAACTCCTCAAATAACACCTGGACAGCAACAGTCTTCCAGAAGAGACCAACGGGGAGCGGTGAGACTGCAGATGTGCTCAGATGTGTCTGTTCCCAGAATCCTTTTCTGCTTAGTAAGTCTGCAGCCTGCCCTTCCCCCTGAAAGTGGTGTTTAAATTGCTTTTGTTCAAAGTGACTTTGTCCCACCTCTTAATAACTTTACGAAGCATAACTTGCATTCCGCTTTACTTTTATCATCATTGTTCACGTTAAAATACCTTCACACCGCTTCTTTTTCTACCTGAGGTGTTATTAGCAGTTAGCAAACAACCTTGTCATCCATGACCGCCACCTGCTGGTACGAAGCGCAGATCAGGACAGCCAACTACGCCCCCCACCCCATACACAGCCGACATGGCTCCTCCACTACCACCTGACTGCTCAGCTGAAAGGTGAATGTGACGCCGCCATTAAGAAGTCTCACATACCGTGGTATCAGAATACTTCTAATAGTACAAAGAATCAGACCCAGTATTGGTGCATCCCTAAATTAACTTTTTTAAGAGTATCGTTTAAAAAAAAAAAAAGTTTTATTTTATAAGAATTTGGCAAAACAAAGTATGTTTTTTTCCCGTTCTTCTTTAACAGGCCCTCAGCTATCTGGAAAGCTAAACCCTTCATTATCTTTTGAGGTGGCACGTTGTACAAACATTTGACAACCACTGAGCAACAAGGTCACCCATTAGTGTAAAAGCGATAGCCAGATTTGCTGAGGTATAAAGCTCCATAGCTTGAAAATGACAAAAAACATTTTGAAATTATTCCCAGAGAATAGTCACCAATCAGCAGCAGAAAGAGGTAAACAAGCGATGAGACCCTCGCTGAACCCCCAAAAACCGTGCAGACTCTCACCCCGTCACCCTGCCCTGCATTCATTTTGATGATGTATTGACACTGAGCATAAAGTCTTTAGATGATATTTAACAAACCATGACTGTTAAAAGTTCGAACTCTAAGAATCGCGAAGTGAGACAAAGCAAAACAAAAAGATAATGTTACACTTTGGATTTCAGAGGCAACATCTCAGTCAGTCTCTGCACTCTACGCCTGTACAGCAAGTCACTACATCTACATGTGGCAAATTTTAAAATACTTTTGTCTCCTATGATCTTTATACAAATTTTACAGACTCGTGGAGGTCCGATCCAAAGGGTGAGTCACTTTAAAACATATCCAGTTCCACAGCAGCTGCTCCCCCCGAATCCCAGCTTCCCATCAGGCCTTGGTGCATCAGATTTCCAAAGCAAAGATTAGCTGGCTGCTAACTTAAAGCTATGAAGAGAAATCTTGCTGTAGCTGTCTATTGTAGAAGAGGTGGTTAGATGGTTGGTTGATGAATGAAGAGGCACGCCGAAGATGTTTCTGAAACAGTTCGTCACTGGCTAGTTCCTGTATCAGTTCAGTTGAGGCAGTGTTACTGAATGATCACTTGAGTTTGACATGAAAAGCAAGCTGCACATTTACGTAGGCTGACGATGGTTTAGATGTTTCCGTTGAAAGAACAGCTCTTAGAAAAACGTCGCTCCTTCCGTCACACAAAGGGTTTCTCATCCTCACCCTTGTGGTAAAGTCTGGTGACGTAAAATTCAGGAGAGCTCGATCATGCACGCTTAAAGTCTCCAGAGATTAATGTTGTTCATGAAAAAAATAAAAAATAAAACAGCTCCAGAGCAGAAAGCCAACCTAGAAAGTATACCCTGCCACTCAATAAAATCAACAATCTTGACTAGAAGAAAAAAAAAGTTATTTACCAAAGTGGAAATATACTGTATATATTGTCATATTGTCAAAAAGCTTATTGATTGAAAGAGAGAAAAGACGTACATCCATATTCTTGGACTGGACAGACAAAATATTTAATAGCAAAGAACTTATTGAGTTGTTTGAGTATATTTTAAAAGTCTGCCAGAAAGCTTTCTGTGTTGAGCAGAGAAATTAAAATATAGTTTAAATTCTCAATATAGAGCAATTAAGTTCATGAATCCCATAACTTTAGAAGGGCTATTTTAATAGTTTTAGTATCATCAAGATACATTTCAAATGTTTAAGCTGTGATTTAGACGTTTGCAATAAATTCCAAAGTCTTAAAAAAGACATTAACTGTTTACACAGAACTTTCCTAAACAACTCAATAAATTCATCAGGTTTTGCTCCGCTGTCCGTTCAAGCTGAATACAACAGAAAAGTCAGTCTCTTAATTGCATATATAAGAGCATCTCCAGAGCAACTTCCCAGTTCAACTCTTAGTATTTTACCTACGCTAGCTTCTATTTACAGACTAAGCAAGTGGTATTTACAAGGTTTGTCCACAAGGGGGTGATCCAGGCCTGCGTGAGGTGTGAGCATGCACCATGTCAACGGAAATATGATATGTAGTGATAAAGTAGTGATAAACCTTGCTTATGTGGCTGGTGTTGAAATGGCATCCTGTGGCATAAAGATAGGAGGCTTAACTTTATCGTCGGTTCATAAAAGTCCTCGTGCTTCACCTCGCTGTCCTAGTTTTAGTAGGACCTGAAGCATTTCTCTCCTGTACACTTCTACAACTCTTCGCTGCTACCATCTTTAAAACATTTACTTACTATGCCCTAAATAAAGAAGACAGAAGGTGGATGCAATTACCTTTCATGTACCTAGAAATGTTATTCTCTTACAGAATGTATGAACCTGTGAAATAATTTTGTTTTTAATAATTAGATGAGCTTAGGAATGAGTAGTGTGTGATCTTTTTTTAAATGTTTATCTCTTAGCTTCCTTATGCTGTTATTCAGTATGATTACAAATCACAGTGATGCCTAGAGCTTCAGAAACAATCGCCGTCTCCTGATTGTAAGTTTACGCTACATTCACGCACTCGCCCGCGCACACAAACTCTCACGCACGCGCCATAAAAACACAATATCATCAGAAAAACTTTCCCTGAGGCAACAGCTGGCAGCTGGTTTCTGTCCAACTATCTAGCTCTGTCCTAGCAGCAATCCAAAGAGCCAAACAAAAAAATTTCTGAATAAAAGCCACCCCCACAAAACATGAAGTTATGTTTGCGTAAGTCAATCTACCAACTTCACAGGTCCAAAAAAATTTAAAAAAATCAGAAAGTAGAACAGAAAAGTGCTTTGTTGCACAATACCTTCAGTCAGAGTCTGTATATGCACCCCCTTGTGGTCCATCTATTCCCTCACACACTGTACACGTAGCAAAAATAGAAAGGCTCCTCATACTCTCAGCACATTTGCATACATCGTCTTTTCAAAATAAGAGAACATATACATACGTAACTGAGGAGGAGCCTTAAAAACATCTGCTATTCAACACTCTCAGAAGTTTCTTTCTTTACAGCGTACAAGTCAAACAGTACTGTTTGACTGATACCATATGCAAATATATGCGTATACTTATTGTATTTAACTATATAGAATTATACATACATTCTTCCTTTTGTTACATTGTCATTATGAACAACTACACCTCCCTCCATCTATCAGCCTCCTGACCTCGTTCATGCAAATCGCTTCTTTCTTCCCCTCATTTCCATTCTCACACATCAGTCGTCTTGTTTTTTTTTTGTTTGTTTCTTTCATATGAAGTTTCGCAAGGCAGGAGAAAACATCAGAAAACGCACCTGTAGCTCGCATCATAGCAAAGCGTTTATAAACCTACAGTCCACGTTTTTCTAATATTTTACTAACAGCTTGCTTATAGCCTTGGATGTTGAACATATTTGGATGCCTTTGCTGTTAAAAACTGTAAACCAACAGGTTGTAGCTATCTACACAGTTTATTACCCAGCGTGGGTAAAAAAGATGTAAAACTGAGGATTTGTTGTTTTGTTTTTTTCCAGTCACCGTCATGTGTCGTTAACACTGAGAAAAGTCATGAGGATGATGATGGTGAAAGGGGTGCGACAGACAGACATCGGGTCGTCTTCACTGTACGATAAAACTGCAGGGAGCGAACTCCAGAGAGATGGTGATGGAAACAAAAAGTTGGATTTTGACGGTGTGGAAAATTAGTGAGGATGAGCGAGTTAAAATACCTGCATAAGCAAATGAGAAATTCTGTTTTGCAGTATTGTCTTTACAAAGGTTAGAATATAATCTGGTGATCCGAGAGCTGCAGGAACCTTCAGCTTATTTGCACGTCTTGTGTTTGTGAATCAAGAGGTCTTGTTATGGTTGACGTTTAGTTTGGATGATCGGGGAAATGAGGGGATCCCGAAGATATTTGTCTACGTATGTGAGCATCCATCTTTTCCCCACTTGTTCAAAGTTTTTATGAAGGCTTCATTTTTCTTGAGGAAAAGACTGCCAGGGTTGGTTAATCATCCTGTGTGTGATGAGTGTGTGTAAATGCAAATGTTTATCCTCCCCCTCCCGCGGTGCTACGACACCTCGCTGCCGAACACCTCCAGGACGAGCGGGGTGAGCTGCATGCTGTGCTCGGGCTGGAAGGAAAGAGAGCGGTACTGCTTGGAGTGCTCCTCGTTCAGACTGCGAAGGTCGGCCAGTTTCTGGATCATCTTGGCGTAGAGGAGGCCTCCCCCTGGGTGGTTGACCCGGATGTAGGCCTGTAACACCTCAGACAGGCGATCCTGAAGCTGTTCAATGCGAGCATGGTCTTGAACACCAGGGCGGTCTGCAGGACAAGAAAAGAGGTTGGGTGCACAAAGTATTTGCTTGAAATGCAGCATGTGAGAAAGTCTCAGATCTGTTGGATTATAATTTGATTTTACTTTCACGTCTTTTACCCACCCCACATAAGTCAGTAATAATATCTAGATGTTTGATTAAATGCTACCAGTTTGTCGTTTCGTGATTTTAAAAATTCCACACCGATCGTGCAGCTCATCCATCAATCAGCCAATTGTGAGTCACGTCCAATCGTATTTTGAAAAACCGCGATAGAGCGAGTCCGCAAAAAACGAACCGCGAAGTAGCGAGGGACTACTCTAGTTCCTTCTTATAACACTTTGTTATTGGAAAAATTAGTTTTGACATGAATGCGCTGCTTGATTACTTTAAATGACGAGGCATTCATTTTGTTCTGCTACAATATTAGGCTCGTCATATGTTGAACAGAGACAGATGTCTTCCAGGAACAGGTTTTATATATTTTACTGGCAGCCTGCAGCAAATAGTGATGTTAGAATAAATCTAGGTCAGAGAACAAACCTAACACCAACACTATGAAGTATACTTTGATGGCGTGCCAGCAAAAATAATAATAATAATAATAATTTAAGTAAATCACATTGGGTAAAAAGTTCCTTTATGAACACCAGCAGTACCTGGAGACAGCAGACAGATGGCCATGAGCAGCACATGTTCCTCCTCCTGCAGGTTGAGTTTCTTCAGACCGACTTGGAACTTAACCAGCGGCTCCAGCAGCTCCAGGGTGTGACCCGCTGTGGAGGATTGCACCGTTAACAGTCTGCTAGAGGTGTTTTTGAACTATGCAGCGAAACATTTATGAAACCTGGCTTTGACTTGGGAATGAAAATCTACTTTTTAACGTCAATGGTTTAAAAACAAAATCATTGTTCTTTATGTGTACTGAATAGAGTATTTATTCTTAGCAGTGTGTGTGTGTGTGTGTGTGTGGGTGGGTGGGGGTGTCGTCTGTGGCAGCTTTAGTGTTTCTATGAAAATTCCTGAAATCAAAACCTCGCAGTAAAGGGCAGAAGTGCACAGAGAAGCAGCTTGTCAGTGGACTTTATGAGCCTCTCTTACATAAGATGGGAGAAAATCTCATCAGTCTCGTTTACTTCAACAATGAACACTTTTCTACCCTCGAGTTTGTTCTTGTGTGGCCTTAAAAAAACTTTCTGAGGAACATGAGGTGGTAAAAGGAAAACTTGCACTGTGAGTAAAATCAGCAACCAAGTGTCCAAACTAACGTGCTGTGGGTTCACGTATTTATATAACGTGAAAAAATAATAATAAGGCCTGACACGCAGCTGTCAGTCTTCAATGGCCAAATTCACGTCTGCATTTCTTTAAGAGAGGGACACGACACAGACCTTTTGTAACATCGGTGACGCAGTATTTAAAATCGGGTCCTCCGCAGCTCCAGGACATGTCATCCAGACTGAACGACTGGTTGGAGCGCAGCATGATGATTTCGATGGCGCTCGACTTTAACAAAGCGATCTGGTCCTCTGCAGTCAGATCTCTGGAAAGCAAACACAAGCGCAAATGTAATTTAAATGTTCACAACCTGGTGCAAGTTGTGTTACAGAGTGAGAGTTGGTGCTGCTTTTTATCATCTTGGAGAACCATCGGTGCATAATTTAAAAGGCCATATTTCCATGTTCATCTTGCTTTAGTTAATGGAAAAATACAGTCATAATTCTTTTTGCACTAGACTAATAAATATGACTGTAAGGCTCATAATGCATTTACTGGTGCCCATAAAAGTTCATAGATATAACAATAAAGTGCTACGCAACAAAAATATATACAAGATTAGTTGCAAACACTATACATATTTGAGCTTGATTGGACACAGGTCATTTAAAGTTTATTAAACAAATATGTTTCGTTTTTATTTTACTCATTGCTTTCGAGTACAAACAAAACATCTATGAAAACAATACATTTTACAAAAATCACTGTCCACAGAGATGAATTTATGTATTATTTATGCAACATAAAGTACATAAAAGCCCATTTTCATAAAGGAACAATGCATTGTGTGAATCTCAGCTGCTGTCCACAAGCCAGATACTATACCAGCTTTATTTATACAGCACTTTAAACAACCACAGGACCAGAGTGAAGTACAGTACAATCAATAAAACACAACTGCAGTCATAAGACATAATAAAACCTAAAAAAAACTAAGAAAAAGCAGCCCTATAATAAAAACTAAACACTTGAATTTAATTAAAATAAACAAAAAAAAGTAAATATCTCAAATGGTATCAAAAGTCAAGGTGAGGAGAGTAGTTTTAAAGTGTGATTTAAAAACTGATAGGGTTGTGTAATGTCCAAGGGAAATCATTTTATATTTTATGAGCATCAGCAGCTAAAGCAAAATACTGTGACTAGATGCTATTGATTATTGTGACTTACTCCAAAAGGTAATCAATAGTAGATGCCAATCCAATGATTACTTTCTGAGAGTTTCATTCTCATCCACCCACTTGTTCATTAGATATTTGGCTAACGATGCAAGCAAATGAATACACGCATGCGCATGCACACAAGCAAAAACTATTACAATTCGCCTTAGCCTTTTGTAAGGCATGTATGTATTATACACAAGCTAACAATAGAAAACTAAAATCAGCTGATTCCTTCACTTACACGCTCTACAGCTGTTCATAAAACTATGTACAGCTAATAATTACAGACAGCAAAAACATTCAGTAATTTGCCTGCAGAACATTAAGCAGGCAGGAAATTTACTGACTGTTCCCTGCAGATACAAAGTCTGTTGTTGTATTGTTCCAATTCAAGGCACACACGCACACAACACTTTGTTCCAGCTCACCACGAGATCCATTAAAGTGATAGCAGCCATTCATCGGTCAAAATGTTCTACTTAACCACCTACACTCAAAAATAAGAGCACACACGTATGTGAGAAAGCACAACATGTACAATGACTGTATCGGATGTTTATTGAAGCAACCGGGCTCTGTCTGTGCAGATCTTTATGATGTGCAGTGACAAAGACGGATGGAACTAAACATTCCTGTTTTTCTCTTAAGATTTAATCAGATGCTCTGTCTGCTTTTCTTTTCGTTAAAAAATAAAATAAAATGTAAAACTATTGAATTACTTATATTTCCAGGAACAGGAGATTTTTGCTATTTGTCACATCTAGGCTGGACTATTGAAATTGTTATCTGGGTGTCCAAGTACTTCTTCACAAAGTCTTCAGTTGATCCAAAATGCTGCTGCCAGAGTCTTAACTGGAGTTAGTGGGAGAGATCATATCTCTCCAGTTTCAGCTTCTCTCCATTGGCTCCCTGTCAAGTCCAGACTTGAATTCAAAATTGTACTTCTAACCTACAAAGCTCTCAACAACCTAGCTCCAGCTTATAATACAGATCTTACTGTTCCATATTTTCCCAACAGAACACTTCGCTCTCAGATCGCAGGTTTACTTGTGGTTCCTAGAGTTTCCAAGAGCAGAATGGTAGGTAGAGCTTTCAGTTATCAGGCTCCTCTCTTGAGGAACCAACTTCCAGTTTCTGTCCATTGTTCTTGTTCTCCTTCTTCAGCTTGACGGACTCCATCACCGCTGATGTCCCCCTGACAGATGCAGACGGGTTGCTGCCCCGACAGGCACCAATGACCTTCAGGCCATAGCTATCTGCAATAAAGGTCCTCAACATAGTCCACTAAGATTCCATGTGCCCGACCTCCCACAAGACATGTGGAAAAACTCCCGGAGGTGTGAGTTGAAAGCCGCCCCTCAGCAGAATTGCCACCTTAACATGGTGAAGGGGTTTGTGTACCCCTTAGATCCTGGGTGCTATGTTGTTGGGGGCACCAGTCCCTGGTAGAGTCTCCCATGGCAAACAAGTCTTGGGGGAGGGATCAGACTAAGAGCGATTCAAAACCTTGACGAAAAAACAACAAATGCATCAGGAAACCATGGCCAGGAAAGGGAAACTGGGCACCTCCTTGGAGTCAGGTCTGGGGGAGAGCTCGTCAGTAAGAGTCTGGTGGTCGAGCCTTGGCTCCTGGAGCTTGGTGAATAAATGACAGGAAGTCACCTCCACGTGGACCCACCACCTGTGGAAAGGTCTGATGCTGTGCATGCTGGGTGGAAGGGCCAGGGAAGATCTGTGGCCATGCAGATTCCTGGTGGCATAAACAAGCTCTAAGGACGTGGCTTGTCACAGCACTGGTGAGTAGCTGGAGCTTGTGTGTGAGGTTGAGTGGTACCAACTAGATGTAGTTGGGCTCACCTCTATGCACAACGTGGGCTCTGGAACCCAACCCTGGAGAGAGGCTGGACTCTCTCCTACTCCGGAGTTACCCAGGGAGAGAGGTGTCTGAGGTGTGTGGGGATACTCACAAGCCCCCGGCTGAATGGTGTTGGGAGTTTTTCCCAGTAACGAGAGTGTTGCCTCTCTACAGCTTCAGGCTGCTGGTTCTGACAGTGCTTATGCAACAAATCAGTTCAGATTGCTCGGCCTTTCTGGAGTCTCTGGATGGTGTCCTGGAAGGGGCACAATAAGGGTATTCCCTCGTTCTACCGGGTGACTTCAACGCCCATGTGGGCATTGACAGAGTCATCTGGAAGGGGATGAGTGGGTTTACCAAAATACTTAAGAAAAAATTCTCCATAATTTAAACTGTAAAAATATAAAGACATCAGTGACTCCATATTATGAACACATGTTTCTAAAATTAGAACAATAAAAAAAACATAACATTTTGTGTCTGAAACTCATTAAAGCATAGAGCCACAGGAATGTTTGGTTGTGAAACTGCAATGGCGTTTGCAGCATAAACAAAGAAGTCCTGGGTTTCATTAGACATTTAAACAATTTAAACACAGCTCCATCTCCAAAATAAAATAACTAAAACACTGTATCTTCAGTAAGAACAAAGCATTTTAATACAGTACCTCTTGAACGTTAAAGGTACAATAATAAACCTGGAGGAATAAAAACTACAATATTAAAAGAGTAAAATCATGTTTGAATATAGACAGTAGAATTATTGTTCCAGCTGTTAAGGTGTGGCAGATTGTTCCATTTGTCTTCTCATCCACCAAAAATCTAATTTTGTAGATATTTTAGATAACATGTAAACATAATCAGTTTTAGCTTTTACTTTATTTGTATATTCTTGTTTTAAATGTCTAAAATTGTGATAATATCCCAACGATTGCTTAGTAGCTATTCCACAAATTTTTCTATTCTCTCTGTTTCACAAATTAAAGCAATCTGGCAACATATGGAGCAGATTAAATGATTTGCTTCTCCTTTTATAATGTTTTGGCATGTGCCTGCATTTATAGCAATTTTTAAGTTATTTTTAAGTTGATCTCATAAACTACAGCTTGTTTCAGTATTTCTTGGAAGAGCTGGTTTGTTTCACCTCACCCATTAATGTTCTGGGTGCGTATCAGCGTGCTAGGTGGGAACCTCTTCAGGTTGTTATCAGTACGTGCTGCTGGTCTGATGTGGCACATTTACAAGTACAAACATCAAATCAGTAACACTTCGTAATACAGTAGTCCCTTGCTACTTTGCGGTTAGTTTATCGTGGACTCGCTCTATCGCAGTTTCTAAAAATAAGATTGGTCATGACTCACAATTGGCTGATTGATGGATGAGCCGCACGATCGGCTTGGACTTTTTATTTAAAATAAATTATTTTAAATTATTTAGCACATTCTGCACATTTGAGCAGCCCACACTGCAGGATAAACTTCTTGCTGCAGCTGATCAGCTGTTCTCAGTGCAGAGCTGAGAAGTGGGCGTGGCCAAGAGCGCTTACAGGTGGCAAAGAGCAGAGGAGGCAGGGAGCTGAAATCATGACACTCTGTGCTCTTTTAGAACGTTTAGAAACATTGTTTAGAATATTGCAAGAGTGTGGGAAAGGTTTAAAACACCATTTACTACTCATCCTACTATTCCTAGTTCACAGTTTTACCACTTATCGCAGGGCTTCAGGGTACGGATCCCCCGCGATAAACGAGGGACTACCGTAATAGAAACCAACAGGGACTAACATTGATATTTTAAGATTAATCCACATGTTTACAACTTGTATAACTAAACATAGTAAAAGGTATTTATGAATTTATGTTAACTTAATGCATTTTAAAAACACACAAGACCATAAAACAGGTAATTTCATTACTGATTAATTAGTTATGAGATTTATATAAAAGAAAACAAAATACAATAGTAAAAAATAAAAATCCATTTGAGTTTAATAAAACCTAACGGAAGAAACTGTCATTTGTAATGTAAGACCATCCTCTCTGTACACCTGCTTGTTTCCACTCAGGGTCACAGTGAACTGACGCCCATCTCTGGGGGTCACTGAGCGAGTGGCAGGCTACACAATGGACACTAGAGATGCCATTTCTAACCTGAACCCGGAGCCCGGCCCCGCCTGACATGGATTCAGGCCAGGCCGGGCCATAATAATGTGCTTAATGTGCGGGCCGGGTCGATGTCGGGCTTTTTATTGCGTCAGGGACATGCGCGGCCGACGATCCAATTGTATGCAAATGTGGCTTGCCATGAAATCACCAGCCGCACTCGGTCGGACCAGCCAGTTGAAAGAGGTAAAAAGTTCCGCTAAGCTTCAGATGGACTACTGCCAGCCATCCATTAACCCAAATGGACGTTCATTCAGCCGCTGCACTCAGCGGACACGAGCGACCTACGACCCAACCAGGTGAGATCACAAAATATCCGACATGTCAGAGCAGGATGCAGGCAGAAGCAGGGGAAGCATTTAATGCGCTTTGAGGGCTCCTCAGCTCCGATCTTCCCCCTTTACTCAGCCACGCGCGTCCGCCAACCCTTAATAATAGATGGTGGTATAAGCAGTCAAAGCTTAATTAAAAATGTTGGGGGAGGTGTTCGGATTCGGACCTGTAATTATTGTTAATTCGTCGAATCGGAGATGATAGCTGCAGGCTGGGGCTTGGTCGGATTATTTAGACCCAAGTGCAACTTCAATGGACACTCCTGTCCACAAAGAAGAAACAGCCTTGTATGGATACATTCACATATGTAGGGTCAATTTAAACTGTCCAGTTCACTTAACTGGATGATTTAAAACTGTGCGAGAGCTAAACCACTTGGAGATACAAATGGGAGAGCATGCAAACTCCAGCCCCAGCTGGTAGTTGGCTCCAGAAGCTTTATTTTTTTAATAAATGATCTGAATTAACTCCTCTTTTAAATAGGTTCCTATTTTTATGTCCAACCTTCAAATATAATTTGCGCCAGTAAGTGTCACATGATACAAGTATAATTCAAAGTATAAATATATTGATGCCCTTCAACAGACACTTAAAAACAAACGTGGGGCTTCTTTTAACCAAACTCATTTACAGTAACTCTCAACTCATACCTGAAGCCTGGGATCATCTTGGCAAAGCCTATGACTTTCTGGATGCTGTAAGAGACCAGGTCAGCCAGGTGGGGTAGCATGGAGAGCTTGGTGTCGTCCTCGCAGGAATCAGGACTGCTAGCACCATCCTGGTACATCATGTACAGGCTGCAGATGTTCACCTTGGTGTCCACTGACTCTGTTGGAGCAGATCAACAAAAACATCAATGCATTTTATGATGAATTAAAGGGTATATGCTTAATGTGGAATAACCGCTAAAACTTGTTAGAGAAGCTAAAACCGAGACGTTTGAAGTAAAACAAGCAGACCATGACATCTAAAAACAGAAAACAGCCAAACAGTATTCAACGCAAAAAAAACATTAGCTATAAGACAGTAGCTAGAAGTAGTAAAACAGCTGTTAAAAGTTAAAATTAGCAGAACATACTAAAAATGCCAAAAATGGGGTTAAAAGCTAAATGAAGCAAAACTATAACTTAAACACCCATTTATAGCCAACTACATCTAAAGTCATAACACACTGGAAATAACTCAGCACTAACTACTACTACAAAAACAAAGGAAGAGACAACGAAGAAGACGACCACCACCCCCAAGAAGCTAAATTCAAAATAGTATAAAATGAATAAATAAATCAACCATAGCCATTTTGTCTTTTAAGATGTTTTTGCTTTAGCTAAAACAAATCACTTCCAAATTGTGGCATTTCTGAGCTAACTCAAGCACTACGTTAAATGTAAGATGAGCAAAAACACAAGCAGCATCAAGTGCTAGCACACTACTGAGAACATGAGTATACAAATGAGCCACGAAATCAATATGAATCATAATGAAAGTCCATGAATAAAGTAAAAAGCTGTTCTATTTGTTTCTGCAGTGAGAATATTTGCCGAGCTATAAAGCAATAATATTTCAATGACATCTTCCTGGTACACAGTATAGAAGCAATGTTATATAAATGCCATTGAACTGCTCTAAACTTAACGTTGGCTGATGGAAGTGAAAAGGAAAGAAGAAAAGTGAGGTTTTATTCATCTCACCAGGTGAGTGATTGAATGAATCAGAGGAGGCATCAGACAGTGAGTGAAGAGAGGCGGCTCTGCTGGCACTGCGTGTTACTGGGCCGTCACGCACTGGAGGCTGAAAACGCACAAAAGAAACACTTTATATACTTTAATTGCTTCTCCTGTGTGCATTAAAAGATGTAAAACATGATGTTATCACTACACACCAATGGACAGTTTACTGCAATTTATAATACTGGAATTGTCTTTTTTTTAATCAGAGTTAGTTTAAAAAAAATAAAAGAAAATAGTTGACAGAAATTATTCTTTAAACCCCAGGATGATGAGTCCATGCATATTTTGAAGTTGCACATGACAAAAGTGTGTCAGTTTTGCAGAAAAAGATCAAGAACAGTCCATCGATATATTGACCACACAAACGGTGCAATGCGTGTGGAAGTTAATGAGCACACAACTCAATGTAGTGAATGTGATGCAGTAAAAGAAGCATGTGTTGCAACAGGTGACATTTGGACTTATGAGTTTTGATGTACTTATGTAATCTCAATGTGAGTTTTAAAATATATATATATATATATATTTCAAGTGTTCTTGCATGCACGGTACTTAACTGAAACAAACAAAAATGTATTTTGCATTAAAATGGTGGGTGGTGTGGCCAAGCTGTTGTTTCATCTGATTACTTTAACTTGAAAGGATCCCCCTCAGTTCACCGTAACGCCCACAAAAGCATTATCTGTAGTTTATGACACAATCAGAATGTGCTTGTGGCTGTCTGCACGCCGTGTGCTCTAAAAACACCTGACACGAATAAATCAAAGAGTCTGTGGGACTTTCTCAGACATTCCAGACAATCCTTACTCTCCATCCCATTTACGCTGGACAGTCTTATTCCTGTAGTGCACTGAGAAAATTATGTCTGATGTAATTAAGAAAATATGACACAACACTTGGGTTTGGTGACCCATGTATCACTGGTGCCAAGCAAATTGGAAGCAGCCATGATTAATGACTGCTATTGTTGGTTGGCTTAAAACCAATGTCCAGTAATTTCTGCAATGTAGCACATGGGGATGGACTCACAGAACTGGAGGTTAAAAGTAGAGTTTACTGTAAAACAGCTTTTTTTATTATTTGCAATGATGTTCACAATGAAGGACAGATCACCACTGACGTCTTTCCTGTGCATTTGTGTTTTTGTGATGTGACATTAGGAGGGAGAAAGGTGTGTGTGTGTGTGTGTGTGGGGGGGGGGGGGGCATGTAACAGACAGGTTGGACGAGAAGGCCTGGCTCTCAGTCTCCGCTCTAATTCATCCCAAAGGTGTTCTATCGGGTTGAGGTCAGGACTCTGTGCAGGCCAGTCAAGTTCATCCACACCAGACTCTGCCACCCATGTCTTTATGGACCTTGCTTTGTGCACTGGTGCACAGTCATGTTGGAAGAGGAAGGGGCCAGCTCCAAACTGTTCCCACAAAGTTGGGAGCATGGAATTGTCCAACATGTCTTGGTATGCTGAAGCAGTCAGAGTTCCTTTTACTGGAACTAAGGGGCCAAGCCCAGCTCCTGAAAAACAACCCCACACCTTAATCCCACCTCCACCAAACTTTACACTTGGCACAATGCAGTCAGACAAGTACCGTTCTCCTGGCAACCACCAGCCTCGTCCATCAGATTGCCAGATGGAGAAGAGCGATTTGTCACACCAGAGAACGCGCCTCCATTGCTCTAGAGTCCAGTGGTGGCGTGCTTTACACCACTGCATCCGACGCTTTGCATTGCACTTGGTGATGTATGGCTTGGCTGCAGCTGCTCGACCATGGAAACCCATTCCATGAAGCTCTCTGCGCACCGTTCTTGAGCTAATCTGAAAACCACATGAAGTTTGGAGCTCTGTAGTGATTGACTGCAGAAAGTTGGCGACCTCTTCGCACTATGCACTTCAGCATCCGCTGACCCCGCTCCGTCAGTTTACGTGGCCTACCACTTCGTGGCTGAGTTGCTGTCATTCCCAAACACTTCCATTTTCTTATAATACGGCTGAAAGTTGACTGTGGAATATTTAGGAGTGAGGAAATTTCACGACTGGATTTGTTACATAGGTGGCATCCTATCAGTTCTACGCTGGAATTCACTGAGCTCCCGAGAGCGACCCATTCTTTCACAAATGTTTGTAAAAACAGTCTGCATGCCTAGGTGCTTCATTTTATACACCTGTGGCCATGGAAGTGATTGAAACACCTGATTCCGATCATTTGGATGGGTGAGCAAATACTTTTGGCAATGTAGTGTAATATTTTGAAGTTTGATACCCTTTCGCCTTCAATACACATGCCGTTCTTTTTCTGTTTACTTGGTGGAAAAAGGTACACCACAGTACCAAAGCCTAATTTATTTTATTTACCTTTATTTAACCAAGCAAATCCCATTGAATCTCTTTTTCAAGGGAGTCCTTGGCCTGAAGGCAGCCTGACGTCTGTTTTCTTTTGGATAATAGTTTTATACTATTACACAAACATTAGTTTTATACAAATATATCTATCTCACCATTTGATTTTGTGATTTTTGTTGTTGTTGTTTTCACTAATGAGAATGTGAGTTTGGTTCAGGTCCAAGTAGTGGGTCTGTACTGAACTTACCCTAAAACGTGTAAAGTCAGAATAGGAGGTGTCGTAGGTCTTGTGGTGCGCTTCCACCAGGGAGGAGATGATCTGAGCCTCCTCCTCTTTCAGACGTGGTCTTTGCGCCTCCCGGGCTGCCTCCTCCTCCTTCCTCTTCATGATCATTTCCCTTTTCCTTTGAACCTCCTCATCTGTCAGTATGACTGCAAGGGATAAGTTAAATATTTTACAATAAAATTATGGAAAAAATACACAAGCATACTTTACCATATACTATATGTATGTTTTTATTAGCACAAAAAAGCACAGACAGTAAAAAAATTAAATACATTTGTACAGCCAGTATATTGATTTTTCACATTTTAATGGCGACTGTGCTTTAGCAATGCACTGCCCCTGAGTGCCTGGGTCCAAATTAATCCTTTGACTCCTTGCCATAGTAAACAATCACCCGTGAGGTTCTCGGCTATGCAGAAAGACAGACTGCCAGACAGATTACAACTGCCAAGGAGAGACAGACTGTCATGGCCAAGTCCCAGCATGACTGGGTCACAACATGCAAAAATGCAGTGACAAATCTGCCAATCTGGCAGCTACAGATAAACAGAAAATTTATGTCCTATATACAAGCAGTTAATCATCCATTTAGCATTTTTAGCTGAGATATTAGGCACCGAGCTCTTTCAACAGGCCCTTTCACTCTTCATTTCTTCTGGGTGCATTTAAGGAGATAAATTAAAATATATTTTTCATTCATCCAGCAAGTAAAGGCGGGGCTTCAATGGAAAGCATTGGATCATAATCATGAGGATATCTGGGTTAAGTGTTTATCCATCCAAGCAATAAAGTATAGGGAGGAGTCAGGACTTGAATCTGTGCAGTTACAAATATCAAGAACTACAAAAATAAATCTTGAAGAAAAGGGCAACCTAAAATGGTATATACTTGAATTTAGTCACATAACGGAATACATGATGGCGCAATAAATAGTGCTTTGTACTAAGAAAAGGTTGCTTTCAGTACTCAAACAGAATTTTTAGTGTTTGCACTCTTGTTTGCAACTACTGAAGCGACTTTATACAGACAACAACTATTATAAGTCTAAAAAGGCAACTGAAGAAATCTGTTTAGCCACCCAAGATTTACTAGGCTTTCATTTCTTTTAACCCCCTGTCATTAATTAGGCTTTGGGTGCACTCCAGTGTCCATCCAGACCCAAGCCAGAAATTAACTGCCAACCGCCACTCCTTGTGGTAAGGATATTCAAGTATGCAGAGCACAATCATGAATAGGCAAAATTTGGGCAAAGTTTGGCACAGACCATCAAAGCAGCTATTCTAAGGCTGGCATTTGGCTGAATTAAGTTACTTTTCAGCCAAGTTGGAGCACTAAATGTCATGATGAAGAAAGGAGCCCACAAAAAAGACAAAACGACATCAAAGGGACATCTTGACCACCCCACAGTGCTTGGCAGGTACACAGGAGTTTACCAAAAGACAGTTTGGTGTTTGAAAAGGAGCTGACTGGGAGTGGTGATGTGGTACCTGGCATGGTGTAGAGCAGCTTAGAAAGAAGGCAAACGCTAAAGAAGAAGAATTAAACAAAAGGAACTGAATCAGGTTTTAGTTAACACTATTAATGAAAGGAAATTTGGTATGAAAAAAAGAAAGAGAAACAGAACTCCTGCGATTAAGGTCAGAGGTTCACTGCTGGCTTACACATTAACCAGCCAACCAACCAGTTAAACAGAAAGGAGGTTGCCAACACTCAAGTTTGGTGTGATATATGTGAAGGAGCATTTGTTGTGTAGGTAATACTTTCTCACTAATGCCCTGGGCTTGTGATTTCAAGCGAGTAAATTCAGGTCAGTCAGGCATCAGTGCATCTAAACATACTGAGTGTGACACAAAATAGCTTATAGAAAGATCGCAATGAGAGCACAGCAGGATGGCAGGAAGGATATAAGCACACGGTACAGCGTGTGCTCAGCAAAATCAAAAACACACCTTTTCGATGTGGGTTGATCTTTAACAACCCTTGTTTGTAAAACTCCTGTTTTTCTTGAAAATGAGAGCATCAATATTTCTTGTTCAATAAATGTGCCTGTTGAGCATCTCCTCACAAATATAGGAAAATGCAGAGTATGAATGTTTCAAACAAAAGAGGCAGGCATTGTTTTATTAAAATCAATTTTTTTTTTTTTTTTTTTTTGTTACTGGAAATTAAAAGCTATGCTTTACAGACTAAGCATTTGTATCTGGTTGTGCAAACAACACAATTAGATGTTTTTGGTTTGACTGACTACACCTCGAACATCTGGCAATTATAGCACTTTGGTTGTCAAGGAGATGGAATTTAAAAAAGACCAAGATGAAAAATAAAGAAAACACTTGAAGGCATCAGATATAAGGAGCCAAAAGACAGAAATTCAGTCATGTGAAAACTACAACATGTAAATTAAAACATCTAAGGTGATTAAAACCTTGTTACAAATAAACCCTGGCTTCAGACATACAAATTTACACAAATACTGCAAGCGTGAAAAGGCACTCTCACACACACATACGCTGGCGGGGAGGTCTTTTCCTGGCATCTCTCTAGCCTGTGTCAAATAAGGACGTGGTATTTACAAACTCAGCTGGCACAGCTCACAGAGGGCAGAAAACACACACAGACCCCCACACACACGCTAAAACACTCGTAAAAAGTTCTAATCTGAAATGTGACTAAGCTGAAAAAACTGCAAAAATAAAAAAAAATTTATGACAAAAAAGCAAATACCCATAAATGCAGATGGCATTTCTGTGCAACTGAAATGATTTTTATGTGAAAATTATTAAAAAGGACTTGAGAAAAAAAAAAAATACATTCTGGATCTGAATTTAGTCTTTAAAGGGCTTGTCCACTCGTTAATCTTCTTCTTTATTTTGTTATTTTGTCAATGATGAAGTTACAGTTAGCTTGTATGAAACAGATTTCAACTAGAGAAATTGCATTTCCTGCAAAAATGCAGTGTGAATGCTTATTACTGAAAAATTTGCTGAAAAACAGCTGAAATTAGCTGAAGCATGCTGAAATGTAGCTGAAATTGAAGAACAAACCTGTTAGCAAAAGAAAAAAGAAAGAACATATATTTGCTTAATTTGGTTTAAATAAACAGAAATGGGCACAAAAATTAGCTATTTAAAAAAAAGCTGAAATTGGCAAAAAAAATAAAATAAAAAAAAAAAAAGCTGAAAAGGCAGAAAGAAGCTAAAAATACAAGAAAATGGAGAGAACACAATTGTGCCCAATTAGCCTGAAAGAAGCAGAAATTAGCACAAAAAGTGGAAATCATTTGAAAAAAGCAGAAATTTGTACATACACATAAAATGCTGAATAGTAGCTAAAAAAGCAGAAAGAAGCTTAAATTACCAGAAGGAAGTGGAGAGAGCAAGCTTTTGTTGAATTAGGCTGAAAAAAAGTTTAACTGAGTGCCACAATGTGGATTTAGCTGAAAATGTTGAAAAGAGCATAAAAACAGCTAAATAGTAGCTGAAATAGAAGAACAAGCTGAAACTAGCTGAAAGAAGCATAACGAGCGGAAATTAGCCGAAAGAAGTTAGAAGAACAAAAATGTTGTAGTTAGCAGAAATAATCTGAAAGGAGCACAAAACAGCTGAAAGAATGGCTGAAGTTAGGTAAAAGTAGCTGAAAAAAGTTTAAATTTGCACAAGGAAGCTGAAAGAAGCTGAAGCAGAACAAAATGTGAAAGGAGCAGTAAAAGGTTGTAAACACATCTAAAGATTTGAAGGATGTAAAATGAGCTCAATTAATTTCTGAGAATAAATGGCAGAAAAGGCTAAATATTTCAAAAAGCTAAAGTTGCACCAACACCAAAAGTCAAAGCACCCTTCTCCTGAAAGAGCTGAACGTTTTAATATGCGATTTGTTGAAACAGCACAAAAATTGTGGAAGGAGAAAGATGTCGAGAAACGTCCAAAAGAAAAATGGATCACAATAGTGTGAATGCTTCATAAACATTCACACTATTTTAAAGTTTTTCCTCTTAAGATTTCAATGAAGAAACAAATTGCAAAAACACACAAACGCTGAAGAGAAAACAACAGCTGCTTTGCTGAATAGTGTGTAGAGTCTGCTTCCTTCCATTTATCAACTGTTGTAAACGGAGACGTCCTCCCTCCTTTCACGCGCTCACTAGTCTTTAATCATTCTTCGGAGAAGCACAAGCACTCAAGTGTAAAATGCTATCTGTGGTAAACATGGAAGTCATAATCAGACTGAACATTTTGCAGCACCATCTTTGTTTCACACAAACACAGTCTGTTCAGTGTGTGAATCAAATGTGTGTGAAACAATAGTGACTCTATTTGGCCCCGCTCAGACTTGGCACTAACGTTCTGGTTGACCTGATCAGAGGTTTACAGCTTTCAGGACGAGCGTTCACAGCTGGCAATAAATTTTGTCATGGGTGACTGCATCTTGGTTCCCCCCTCTACATGTAAATATGTACTTTTATCCCCCAGTCAGCATGTTTTCTTTGGTATTTTTTAAGTCACTAATACATCCAGACCAATAAGTCGTATCCTGAAAAATTCCCCTCATTGCATTTATTAATAAACTGATTGTAAATTTATTTAAAGCCTGATTATGAATCTTAAATGTGAGAAAGAGAACATCGTAAAATTGTGATTTTATCGAGCTCAGTCAGCTCAATTATGGTAGAAAAACGGAAGCTTTTAACCTTTAAAACTACAGCTTGACATGCCATCAGTGGTAATCTGCACAGCTTCACTCCGTGTGAGATTAGATGAACTGTGGAGGACTGCACGAAGTGATTTGCTCCAAGCTGGTGGCTTCCTTGGACAGGTAACATTGAACTAACTGACATTTCATAATGCACTGTATTATAATTATGTGTTGCATTACAATAGGAATTGGAATAATAGAAATCACTGTAATAAGATTTGAATCTTGATCTGATTTAAGTATAGTGCCCTGAGATGACTCTTGTAGTGAAATGGCACAACATAGTGAAAATGAACTGAACGGTACTGAACTGAACGTGTGTCATATAGTTGGAAAGGTCAGACGTGATTAATGCAAAGCCTTTTAAAACATGGTGACCACAGAGGGTATAATCTAATACAAAACAACAACAAATAACTAGAAATAAACTCACACAAAAAGTGTCCTTGCAGTCTCCTGATGGGCTTAATTACCAAAAAGCCTTTTTACCAACCAAATACTGTTTTATTATCTCTTGATTATACTTCTGTTGTCATTGTGTACTGGTTATGGTCATGCTGTACATGTCCTACTAGTAAAAATCATTGCTTTAACAATGGCCTTTAAAATAAACCCACTGCAACAGATGAGATGCACTATAGAGACTGTATATATCGACTATGGAGATGATTTGTGAGATGCAGAATGAAGACACCTTTCAATGCTATTCATTATAAATCAGTTGTGACAAGGTGTCACTTTGAGTTAGTGAGGCGCGATGCAACATTTTGCCCTTATGGAGCATACTTCTTGTGTTACACCCACACCCTGTCCTCTACATGCATAACTAACATGATTAGGAGAAGAATGTGACCAAAATGCTATTAAAACGTAAAAAACAATGCTATTTCTGTGATGATTAACTGCACTAATGATAACCATCTGTTGGCATAAAAGCAGAAAAACACTACCGGTAATTATCTCAAGCCACATTTTGACCCAAGACTAGTTGGCCATATGGCACCAGAAGCCTGATTCATATGGACTCTAAACTCCATTACCTGCTTTCTTGTTGTAAATAAGATCAGTTTTCACTACGCTATTGATTCTAGTCCCTCCTGTTCCTTTTTGAATCCCTTTAAATATTAGATTTAAAAATTAGTTTACTGCTGGTACCAGCCAAACAGACTAAACCTTTAGTAATAGTACGCAAAGTAGTACTGTTGGGTTTATTTTGAAATAATGAAAACTACATTTGTGCAGATCGTTCATTACCATCTTGCCTCTACTGATCTTTTTAAGTAAATATACATTTTCTATCTGAAATGGTGGTTGCAACTTCCTTTTGATTGAATACATTGAGGACACTGCTAAAGGAGCAAAAACAAAGTCAGCTGTATTTCACACAAACAGCTGTTCTGTTTTGGAGGTAAACAATATTATAGAAGCAGCGTCAAGAGCAGCTGCTCTAAAGAAACTCAGATGAATACATCAAAGGAATTTCAAGCTAAGGCAAAGATGCTAAATCTTGCATGTTTTAACACAAGTCTTATCCATGTGACCGGGACCAGCTCCACACTTTCATAAAAATGACTACATTAACTTGACATGATCACAATGGAAAATATAATCAGCTCCAGTAATTTCTTCTCAACTAGACACGTTCAAAAGTCTTATGGGCATGGGAGGAACCGTGCATTTAAGTTACATGGAATCAATCAGTTGCTTTAAACCTGATATTTATCGCTTATTTCATTCTTGTATTAGGAAGAATTTATTACAATGTCAGAAAAACGTCTTACTTTTCAAGTCTCTCAATAAGTACTGACAAAAGCTGAGGACTAGTGACTGTGGAAGTTGCATGACGGTCACTACAAGTGGGTGTTTGTTGTTCAAAGATGTTTTTTGTTTGTTTTTAAAGAGTTAAGGTGTGTCTAAGAACATTATCCTGTTGTGGTGTTGTTCTTCTTGAGAACAACATGGAGGGAGGAGCAAGTATTAGAAGAACAAAGCATGGCTTCTCTTCAGTGGTCAATTTGATGTCCAACTTCAGAGTAACCCAACATCTATGACCTCACGGCCACTGTTATTGTTAGTCTGGTAATTTAATATTTTATGTTTATCTATCTACATATCTCGAATTCTATTACCATTATTAATCCTAAACATTGACGCATACAAGATTTTGTTCCACCAGCTCTAGTACAATGATGATTTGTAGGTCTTGTTTCCTGTGTCCAACAAACATTACCCATCTACAAAGATCATTACTTGACAGATCCTATTTGATAGTAAATTTACTACTTTGGGTTCATCCACTCCTTCATTTTCTTCCACTGATCTTAGGACAGGTCACTGTGGTAACTGGTCCAAGAGGAAAATGAAGAAATCCCTCTCTCAGTGACAGTCTTCTTCCCTCTTGGAGGATTCCAAAGCATCCTCAGTTCAGAGAGAATAGACAACTCGTGCAGCAAGTTCTGGGTCTGACCTGTGGTTTCCTTTAAGTTGGGACGTGCCCAGAAAACCTCCAAAAGGTAGACAACCAGAAGGGATCCTTATCAGATGCACAGCGAATGCCAAGAAATCTAAATGTATGTGGTTCAATCATGGAGGAGGAAGCATACCCACCTCAGTGGACTTCACAACGTCAACGGTGACATTATAGAAGAGGGAACGTCCAACATTTTTCAGTCCGGTCACCTGACTGAAAAATGTTGGATTGTATACCTGGATTATTGAGCATGGACTTTGTTAGAAAAGATAACAGTTTATAAATATTTGGAAATTTGGATGGATGGTTCTGTCCTTTTCACATCATGTTAATGTTTTCCAATCTAAGGTTAAATTGAGACTTTGTTATCTATATAGAAAACGATCTTCGTTTACAATGACTGCAAAACGCGCCATTGTTGAAACAACCATTCTACCTCTGTTGGATTACGGAGACATAATTTACAGATATGCCTGTAAAGATGTCCTCCGTAAGCTGGACACAATTTATCACTCTGCTATTCGCTTTGTTGCAAATGCTCCGTATTGAACACATCACCTCTACTTTCTTGTTAAATGGCCTTCTTTACATATTCATTGCGAAATTCATTGGTATACACTCATTTATAAGATGTTGCGGAGTTATTCATCTCCATATTTAACTCATCTACTGCAACTAGCACCAGTTTTGAAGTATAACAGCCGATCCTCTCAGTATTTGTGGTTAACAACTCTAAAGACCAAGTCTGGCTTTGGCTCTGCTGCCCCATCTGACTGGAATCTGCTTCAAAATACTTTGGGTCTGACTTGTCTCGGTTTCTAGTTTTAAAAATTGTTTAAAAGTTTATCTAAAAAATACTTGCAAATGTTTTCATGCTTAGTAATGTTGTCGTTTAACTTTGACAATGAACTGTTGTTAATGTAATTTGTGATTTCCTTGTTCGTTATTGACATCTATGTTTTATTGTTTTGCCCAACCGTATTGTTTCCCTTCCCTTGACCCTACAAGTGCCTGTTGGTGCTGCCAGTCCAGAACTGTAGATAAGAGTTTGTTCTTAGTGTTTATGCCTGGTTAAATAAAGGTGAAATTAAATGAAAGATGCACAAAACCATATCAGCTGACCCCTTTGGATGAAGAAGAGCTCTCCTCAAAGCTTTATCCAGCTTCTCACCAAGTCCCTACGTTTGAGTCTGGCCGTCCTACTGAGCAAAAGCTTTTCAGCTGCTTGCATCAAAGATTTCATTATTTCAGATTACTGTAAATCTATTTCTCATGACCATAGGAGAGGGATGGACCAATAAATAGAGATTTGCTTTTTGGTTTAGCTCCTGCTTTATGACGACACACTTCAACATCATCTTCAATACAAGCAAACAAAACCTAAAATCTTTAACAACACTTAAGACGCCATTATACTTGAGCTCCCCCGCTTAAAGTAAAGACTTACCGGTAATTATTTAGTGCTTTTGCTTTAAAATGAGTTCTCCTCTGAGTGGGCAACATTCTCTCTATGAATTATTCCTCCCTAATTCTCCAAATGGGATCAATTTTACCAGTCTGCTAAAAGTGAGACACTGACTACTTAAGACCTCTCCAAACAATAACACTTGTAAAACTCTACATTATCTCTTTAATAGCGGCTGCAAGTTTGTTAACCTAAACAAGCTTCTATGATATGAAAGAAAGTTGGGGTTAACTAATCCATTTTAACTTTTAGTGATCAGACAAACCTTAAGAACATGGTGTTGTGACTAGTCAACATAGACTGAACTGAGGTTAGTTTTACCAATGGTATGTCCCTTTTAGCTCAGTTGATGTTGAAGTATAATAGCACAGCAACAAAAGATGATAAAATCGGTGTTTTCGCCCTTTTGTTGTACCTCGAATGAGAGGCACCTGGTTCAGCTACTTACAGCTGGAAAATGCAGAAAGATCCTTGAACGTGCTTTTGATTGTTTCAGTGTTATCGGTCAACTCAACTCAAGTAAACTCAATTTACTGTTGTATAAAATAGTTCAAATAAATGCTGTAACCAAACTGCTTCAACTGATTTCTGACCCCAAAACACATACATTTTTTAAAAGATTGTTCACATTAGGAATTTGTGCTTTTATATTTAATGAAATAAAATAATAAAAACTTCTGAGCAAAAATATGTTGCCAATTCCCAACATGTTGGAAGACAAACAAAACCTTTTAAAAACTATACCCAGGTTCCTGCATGCTACACAATGACTGCCCACCCCCCACACTGCGAATTTCACACAGAGAACGCATCTTCAGAAGAAATTTGGCAGTTGAAGGACTCCGCTATAAAGCAACTGCTAAAAAAAAATTGGATCAAACTGTTCTGTGCAAAAATAGATGAGAACTCGCAGCTAAGCACAGAGAGAGATTAACGATTAAAAAAAGATTGCTCACACTCTTTCATCATGCCGATGTCAATGCAGCGTTTAAGACGACAGGCTTGGCAGTGGCGCCGGTTGTCCTTGGTGATGGTGCAGCTTCCATTGAACGGACAGGTGAAGGAGGCTTTACGTTTCATACTGCGCCTGCACAAGTGCAAAAGAAACCAGTTACACAGTCAAAATAATTTATTTTAGGGGTAGATCAAATATGAGGGACAATATCTTTTTGTTCGCTTGTTTAGACATTTTGAAGCAAAAGGATTAGCATGAAAAACTAAATGCAAACTTGCAAACATTCAAACTTTGTGCACATGAAAAGAACTCAGTAAATAAGTATAATCCATATTTTTATTATTACTGAAGAACTAAATTACTAATAAACAGGGCTGCCAAGGCAGAAATTCTTGTGATTAATGTGCATTTTCCAAATAGTTTAAGAAAGAAGATAACTTTCTTCACTTAAGCAATTATGATTAAAATTACCGGCTTTCAGAATTCTAAATCTGCCAAATATTTTAAAAAGTATGCGTTTCGTTTGTGACTACATAAAGCAAGAGTAAAAAACGCAAGATTACTAACAACTACTTTATGAATATTGAATCTTTAAAAAGAGTGCTGGCATGTTTGTGTTGCATGATGGGTAAAAAGCAAGAAACCAAGACACTGACGTTAAACACTAAAATCAACATCTTTCAGAGAAGATGACTAAAAAGCTAAATATATTATAACAATCATTTTGCAACAAACCGTTTTCATGTTTATTCCAGAAATAGTTTAACAACTGAAATTTAGATGGACCCAAACCTAACTCCGTTTACAACCATCCAGTTAAAATATATAACTATATATAAATACTAAAGCTTATCAGATTAGCAAACAATACAAATTCCATCTCTTCTGCATAAGACTGCAAAGTACACTCAACACTACAAACATTAAAAGGAAACACACATTTATACAATAATTACATAAACGGTAAGTGAATGCAACACACACCTGAAGAAGCCCTTGCAGCCTTCACAGGTCATGGCGTTGAAGTGAAAGCCGGTGGCCTTGTCGCCACACACTCCGCAGATCCGGGGGACATTGCGGTCGAACTCATCTGGTCCAACCACTGACGTAGTCACCGTCATGGGCTCCATCACTGACGGGAACAAGAAAAAGATTTACAGCCCATGCGACACTGCTGACGTGCCTCTTGTTCTGGAGTCAACCAAATTAACCGAATAACATAAAAGTGAGATGAATATTTACTGAGAGCTATGAATTTTCCACCATAAACAAAGATTAAAAGTCAGCTTGTTTGCTGGTCCTCTGTGCTATCGGTGTGTCCTCGGCAAAAAGCTTTGCATTTTTCTCCTCTTATACAAACAGGTGTCTGGCTATTAGCATATTTAGCAAAATGCACCGACAGCCTCACATTGCAGCTCACAGCAATTGGCTGAATGAGTCAGTGAAAGGTGCGCACGAACACACACACACACAAATACAAAGTCTACAAAACTGAAAATTCAGTGTCATTGGCAGAAAAAAAATGACAGGAAAGAGGGTAATTTGCCAAATATTCTGAAATGGCCAACGTTTAAAGTCTGCCAGTTCTCTAAGGCGACATTTCTCCCACCCCAAAAAAGCATGCACCATCTGGCCATACGCTATGAAATAAACAGCAGAAGAGTAACACAAGCCGACTGGCAACTGTGAGCAACTCATCCATACCAATCAGTTTCCAAACTCACCTAAGTCCAATTCCGAGATGAGATTATTTTTAAAAAAATGAAGGTAAATATGATTTACATTAAAATAAAAACTGAACTTTGGACACAAACAGAAATATGAACATTAGGTTATTTCAGTTGCCCAGCGTAAGACAAAATAAAATTGAGATGCTCTATATTTACAACCCTGATTCTGAAATTGTTTGGATGTTATGTTTTAAAACCTGTACACACTTTTCTGCAATGATGGTACCTTCCCATATGTACAGTCTGCCCATGCCAGAAGCAATAATGCACCCTCATACCATCAGAGAGGCAGGCTTTGGAACTGTACACCAATAACAGGCTAGATTAGTCTTAGTACAGAGGATAATGAGGATGTAGTTTCCAAAACAATTTTAAAATTTCAATGTCTGACCACAGAACAGTTTTCCACTTTGCCCCAGTTCATTTTAAATGGACTATTGTCCAGAGAAGATGTCAGTGTTTCTGGTTGTTGTTCACATATGGTTTCTTCTTTGCAGGGTGGAGCTTTAATTATTTGCTGATGACACAGTGAACTGTTTCCAGAAAGTGATTTGTGGAAGTGTTCCTCAGCCCATGCACTGATGTCCATAACAGAAAAAGACCCGTTTAATGCAGCGGCCCCGGAGGGCTTGAAGATCATGAGCATCCAACACTGACTTCAAGCCTTGTTCTTTGTGAACAGAGATTTCTCCAGATAATTTAACTATTTTAGTGGCATTATGAAATTTAGATGACTGGATTTTTAAAGTCTTCACCATTTTCCATAGAGAAACAATATTCTGAAATGTTTTCATTATTTTTAGATGCTGTATTTTTACAGAGTGGTGAACTTAGGTCTATCTTAATTTATTTTATTTTTTTTAGATTTGGCCTCTCTAAAATGTTCTTTTATACCCAGTATTCCTTCTGACCTGTTAAAAATTAACAAACTTTGTTGCAGAACGCCCTTCCAGCTGTTTCTTATGTGTACGACTTACTTTAATGTCCCTTTGTTGTCCCTAACCAAACTTTGACTTCTGCCTTAAGAGTCAACATTAATTTATTTTTCCTTTAAAAACAATGGTTCAACTTATTAATTTCTACATTTGATGAGTTTACTACTGCATCTTCCAAAGGGGTGTCACAGTGGCTCAGTTGGTAGAGCTAATGCTTCTCAGCGAGAACGTCACCGGTTCGAATCCCGGCCAGGGGCCTTTCTGGGTGGAGTTTGCATGTTCTCTCCGTGCATGCATAGGTTTTCTCCGAGTACTCCGGTTTCCTCCCACAGACCAAAAACATGCATGTTAGGCTAAGTGGGAACTCTAAATCGTCCCTAGGTATGAGTGAGAGAGTGAATGGTTGTTTGTCTCATTTGTCTTTATGCATCCCTGTGATGGACTTGTGACTTGTCCAGGGTGCCCCCCGCCTCTCGCACAGTGATTGCTGGACATGGGCACCAGTGAGCCCCACAACCCAAAAAGGAAGAAGCAGTAAAGATAATGAATGGATCCATTGTGCTGGTGATTCTCAGTCTTCTTGGTCATGATCCATCAAATGTTCATATTTTCAAATGAGAAAAACTTTTTTAAAACACCAAACGGAGCTCTCACATGTCAACTTTCAAAAACTTATAATGCAAGGCCCAGACAGCTCCACTCCAATTCACACCTTCATGTATGTGACCAAAACCTCTGTCATGAGCCAGGCAAACAAAGAGCCCAACAAACCTTCGTTGTGGAGGGCGAGTACTTCCAGTCTAACCTGCAGGTGAATCTCCACAACCAGGCCTCTCATGCCGTTCTATAAAGCTTGGATCTCCACACACTCCATACATTTTTGAACTGATAAAGCCTTCTGGATTGGAAGCAAAACGTCTTCAGATTTAGAACAGAAGTCCAGTTGTTGTTTTTTTTAACCCTTTTTAGGATATTCTTTTGAGAATAAAAAACGTGTTGAGATTTGTACATCATAGCATTTTGTTCTTAACAAAAATTTAAACAACTTCCTAACCGTTTTTTTTTTGTTTGTTTGTTTGTTTTAATCGGGACTGTATTTAAAAAGAAAGCAACTTGTATTATTTAAATGCTACAAAGACGAAATGGTAGAAACTGTAAATGAATGAACATAAAGTTAACAAAAAATGGACAGTGTATTCATCTATACCTTGCAAGAGTTCGAGTTTTGTCTCAGAAAGCAGACTGTGTATCATTTTATATCAGTGAACCAAACTAATAACAATGCAACATAATGATTGATAGCAACAAGTCAAAGTTTTTATTTCTTTATTTTGTTTCATTATTCCAGATTGTTTTTAGCCAGTAGATCTGAATTGTGTCTTATAACAACACACAGAGAGGTCATGTCCTCACAAGACCTCTCCCATGTCAACTAAATAAGAACAAAGGAATGAGGAGTGGTGCATAAAATTAAATCTGGTAAAGCAGGAGTGACTATTATATACCCTTGAGGAAGTTGACTTATTCAGAAGTAGGAGCCAGATTACGTCAAATGAGGATAACGAGTGAGGAGCAGCCATCGTTAATGAGTGTTTGATTTCAAGAGAAAGTAAGCAAAACTGGAGCAAGTGAGGCAACAAACAAAAGCTGAGACAAACGGGTTAAATAAGGCATTGCTGCATACTTGTTCGCTTAAACCTTCAGCACCAGATTCAAAGAAACATCAAATTCGTGTGAGTCGGGAACGCATGGCCGAGAAACATCTGTCTCATTACTTAGAGCACTAACGAACAGTGGATATTATTTTAATGCATGTTGACAGCCACTGCCTAGTTTGTGAACACCTGAGTTTGTACAGTGGTGATTTTACGGTATAATGTGTCGTGTGTTCAGGTGGGAGAGAAGTGGTTTATCAGAGCAGATGTGCCCACTAAAAAAAGGACCTGATTAGTCATCTTGTGACAATAACAGCCTTGTTTACTGCAGCATCAGGTGAATAATGAAATAAATGCAGATGGTGAAATAAGGCAAGATGGGCCCAAACATCAGAACAGATCTGTTAAAAACAACACAATAACAACCTGCAGATTCATTACTGGTGCTGATACAAGGTTTCCAGGCCCCTGCGTTGTCATTACCAACAGTCTTAATTCCCTTTTAGTTCACTACTTAACCAGTCTTTTTCCTCATAATATGCAGTTCTCTCACTATAGCTTCTTATTTACAGTGGTGCTTAATAAACAGAATTATCATTTATTTATAACAAACATGATTATCTGGTAGAGAAATTAAGGGCTTTAGCTGTTAAGTCACACGTCACACATGCTGATTTATTTCATGTTGCTGTGTTCATTCATACTCATCTGCTCACACAGACTCGTGTTCATGCTGCTGTTGTTCGGCGTTTTGCACTATTAGTGTTTAGCTTATTTCTCAAGTTTAGTGTATTTCTTAGTTTATATCTTCGATTCTTAGTACCGTTTCTTTTACATTTTATATTTTTGCTATTGTTGGATGTGAACTGTGTACACAATTTCGTTCCACTTCATGTACCACACGTGATGTGAATGACAATAAAGAACCTTGAACTAGAGCCTCGGGGACTCATTTACAAGAGAGACTTGTTTTTTTTAAACAAAGAGTGATGACAAGAGTGGACAACAATAGACAATCATAAAGGATGCATACAAATTGAGAATAACAAGTGAAAATAAAATGGTATTTCAAAGAAGATGTAACAAACAAAACAACAGCTAGATTGGAAAGTTTTGTAGAAAACTAAAAACAGGAACAGGAATAATCAAAGTATTTGTTTTGTTGCTTTGGTAACATAAAAAAAAAAACAGCTAAACTGATTTAGCCACACTCAAACTAAAGAATGTTTCCCTTCTATTACTTTATTAACGTGTAGTTCATTCAACCTGTATTTAAACAGGTTAATCCCATTGAGCTTTGGGGACTCATTTACAAGAAAGACTTGATTTTAACAAAGAGTGAGACAACAGTGGACAACAAAGACAAATAATTAAAACTGATGGAAAATAGATAAAACTGCACTGATGTTAAGCTTAACGTTATAAATCTAGACAATAAGTTTAGTTGTTTAGTTTCAAACTCTTAAGATGAACCAGGATCTGGATGACTGAGAATAAAAACAAATATCTGCAGTCAGAAACACATTCCAGCTGGACGGATGTCAGCTGATGCTAAAAGGAAGCTAATGCTAATATTTTCCTTTAACTAGCTTAGTTTGAGCATTTAAAGCATCTCAAAAGCTCACTACATCTAAAATAAAACATTTAATCTAATAACCTCATACAGCCGTGTCTAATTTAATGTTAGTTGTTTTGAATAAATCTCGTTTTGAACCTAAATTTAGCCTTTGTTTGGTTAGCAGCGCTAACGCTAATGCTAGCTTGCTGTACTAAATACTACTTTAGCAACTGCTAACACCTGTTGGCTCTGAA